CGAAATGGTTTAAGAGAATGTGATTATTGGGGTTATTTTTATTGTTTTTATTATTATTATTTATTATTATTATTTATTATAATTATGATTATTTATAATTTTTATTGTGTTGTATAATATAATTTATACTGATGAGTTTTATTGTAACTGTAATAAATATTTTTGATAATGTTGTATTTGGTATATTTGTGGTTATTGTGTGGTATATGCCCAAGGAAATTTATTTTTTTATGGTAAAGAAATTTAATATTTTATGTTTTGTTGGTTTTATAAAGTAGAGTTGGGTATGCGATGTGGGAATGGTGTTGCAACAGTTGGTCTGAATGAGTTTTGGGTCCTAGCACGAAAAGTGCGAACCCGCCTTTTTGAATTAATTTAAATTTTGGCGGCGTGCTTAATTTTCATTGTAGTAATTTTTTATTTATTATTAGTTTATTATATATCTAATATTATTATTGTGTTTATTAAATATTATCGCCGTTGTTAGGTTACTGGGATCGTTGATAAATATATTTCAATCTAAATATATTTAGATATTCACTATTTGTTATATGAAGCGTTATTATTATTATTATTGTTATCATTATTATTATTATTATTATTATTATTATTATATTATTATTGATATTATTTTTACCAGGTCATTTTGTATTTTAGGTTTATAAAATTAAAATGACATATCGTTCACATTCGTAATTGAATATGTTACTCATTTAGAGCACAGTAAGAAATGCCGTTTCGATTATAACCTGAAATGGAGTATTACTCGTTAATGTTATAACGAGTTTTGTCGTCGGTTTGATAGTAATAATAATAATAAAAATAGTAAAAATAATATATATAATAGTGTAAATCGGCATTCAGCGAAAATGTCTCTTGCGGAGCGAATTGAAAACGCATCGGATGTGGATATAATGAAGTTGTATTTGACACTGCAGACGATTAATAATTATTGTAAATTGGACAGCAGTGGGGCTGATGGCGATACTTCGATTGTTGATTCCACTGGTGAGATTTGTTTTTAGTATTGTTTTTATTTATTTATTGTTATTATTTATTGTTATTTATTATTATTATTATTGTTATAGGTAATCAATTGAGTGAACAGCTAAGCAGAAGTAAAGAAATTGAAAATGATGTGGTGAAGAATTTGGAGGAAATTAATAAACTGACTCGGGAATTGGAAGGTTTGATTTATTTATTATATTTTTATTATTTATTTTGTTTATTATATTATATATTATTGGTTATTTATAATAATTATTATTAATATTAATTACAGAAGAGATCGATGAAGATAAACTGAAGGCAGCTGAATGTTTTTTTGAAAAGGTATTTATTAGAATTTGTTAATTTTCATTATTATTATTAAATATTTTAAAATATATTATTGTTATTAAATATTTTAATATAATATTAAATATTACTAAATATAACATTATTGTTAATATATATTTATTGTTATTTATTATTATTTATTGTATTTATTATTATAGAAAAGGAAACTAAAAGAATTAGAAAACGATCCGCTATATAAAAAGTTGATGGGTGGGGGAATGGGCGAATCTTGTGAGGAATATAATCGTTATTTGGTGAGTTTGTTTTTTATTTTTATTATTTTTTTTATTATTATTATTATTATTATTATTATTATTATTATTATTATTATTAATGGCGATACCTCATTTCTGAATGTGCATTCGAGAGTTAATTGTGTTTATTATATTTTTATCGTTTTATTTATTATTATTAATATTATTATTATTGCATTTATTATTATATTTATTATTATATATAATAATAAATATTATTATTATTGCGAAGGCTGATTTTGTTGTGGTTCTGTATTGTGTATTACGTGCATCCATTGAATATTTATGTGCTCATCTGAAATAAAATATTTTTTACATTTTAAATGTTATTAGATGCGGAGAGATTATTTTTAATGTTTGCCATCATTAAATTTATATATTTTTATTTTTATTATATTTATTATTATTTTTAATTATTTTTATTGTTTTTATTAAAATATATATATAATATTATTATATTTAATATTATATGAGTAATGATAACGTCATTCTTGGTGTTATTGTTATTGTGCTCGTTGCTGTGATTATTTAAGAATATTTTTGGATTCGTGTTTTTCTCTGGTCACTCATCGATTCGCATTATCTCTAAGAGCGCAAAAGATTTATGGCGTAATTTGTCTGCTCGTCTGGCGAAAATCTCTCGCAAACACTCCAGAAAGTTCCGCAGCGGTGTGCGCGCACGCACGCGTCAGATGGGTGGTGGATCGTAAAATGTCCGCGAGAGTACTTAATTTGAATGGCGCGTGCGCCTGCGTGCATGCGTACCTATAAAGGCACGTACGCGCGCGCGGAGGAATCGTCAGGAACGCGCGGACGAATTCGAAACTGTAGCAGCGTAAAATTTCGAAATTTTTGCGGCGT